AGGTGGGAAGAGGGGGACTTGGGGAGGGGGAATGGGACGGGAGGGGACGGGAGGGGAGAGGAAGGGAGTGGAGGAGGGAAAGGGAGGGGAGAGGAGAGGAGAGCAAAGGAAAGGCGAGGCGAGGCGAGACGAGGCGAGGAGAGGAGAGGAGAGGAGACGAGTAGGAGGGGCCAACCAAACGCAGAGAACGAGCAATGAGCAACGCGTGGGGAGATCAAACGAATTGCTCAAGTCACACCGAAAGAAGTCACACCGAGACTCGCCACGAAATCTACGCGCAGCCCAACCACACGAGGGACGGAGGAGGCGACGGCGAGGGTGACGAAGGGGAGACCGCTGCAGGGGTGGAAGCGAAGTTTGCGCGCGCGCGGCCTGGCGCTGGGCCAGGCCCGAGGCCAGGAGCCCCTCGAGGCTCCTTCCTTTTCCTCCTCCTCCCCTTCTTCCTCCTCCTCCTCCTCCTCCTCCCTCCTCCTCCTCCTCCTCTCTCCACCTCCACCTCCTCTCCTCCTCCTCCTCCTCCCTCCTCCTCCTCCCCTTCCTCCCTCCTCCTCCTCTTCCTCTTCCTCCTTCCTCCTCCTCCCTCCTCCTCCTCCTCCTCCTCCTCCTCCTCCTCCTCCTCCTCCCTCCCTTCCTCCTCCTCCTCCTCCTCCCTACTCCACTCCATCCTCCTCCTCCTCCTCCTCCTCCTCCTCCTCCCTCCCTCCTCCTTCCTCCTCCTCCTCCTCTCCTCCTCCTCCCTCCTCCTCCTCCTCCTCCTCCACCTCCTCCCCTCCTCCCCTCCCTTCCTCCACCTCCTCCTCCTCCTCCTCCTCATCCTCCTCCTCCTCCTCCTCCTCCTCCTCCTCCATCCTCCCCTTCCTCCCTCCTCCTCCTCCCCTTCCCTCTTCCCTCCTCCTCCCCTCCCTCCTCCTCCTCCTCGTCTCTCTTCTTCTTCTTCTTCCTCCTCCTCCTCCTCCTCCTCCTCCTCCTCCTCCTCCTCCTCCAACTCCTCCTCCTCCTCCTCTCCTCCCTCCTCCTCCTCCTCCTCCTCCTCCTCCTCCTCCTCCTCCTCCTCCTCCTCCTCTTCCTCCTCCTCTTCCTCCTCCTCCTCCTCCTCCTCCTCCTCCTCCTCCTCCTCCTCCTCTTCCCCATCCTCCTTCTCGTCCTCCGCCTCTCCAGATCGCATCGAAACGAGCGTCGGATCGGGTTTCGTCGGCACGGAAACGACATCGACGCGGATCGTCCACGCCCACATCTACGCAACCGCGCCGTGCCTACGCCGGGCCGCACCAGGCCGCAGGGACGCCGAGAGCGAACAGCATCGAGCAGGGCGAGCTCGACATGGAAAGCCGGCTCCGTCGAATCAAACTGGGCCCTGCAAGGTAAGTCCCTTCCGATCTCGCGGGCCGCCCCACAGTTTCCCGCGCCGGATCTGCGGAGTCGGGGAAGGTCGCCGATGGGACAGGAGAGCGCGCAGGAGTGAATGACTAGATTTTTTTTTGTTACCACGATAGCCCAACTGATGCACACGTCCCAGCGGTCAGCGCGGGGCACAGGACAGGAGCCTAGAACGATACGAATTCCCCGTAAAACGTATCCGCGACAAGGGGGGGAGGGGGGGGACGAGGAGGCGAGGGGCAAGATGACTAGATGGGGCAAGCCCCCTTCTCCGCAGAGCAGGAGCGGCCGGACCCTCGGCGGGCCCGTCGGGCAGAGTTCCGCCGACCCCCGCTCGCAGGGAGCGAGAAGGCGCGCGAGATGATTGGCTGTCCCCCTCCCCCTTTTCCCATCCCCCGGGGCCGGAGATCGCATTCGAGGGAGGGGGGGGGGGGAGGGGCGCGAGCTCCCCGGGGGCCCTCTGGAACTTCCACAGAGCCGCCAGATGGCCCAATGAGCGCCGAGAGGATCCAAAAAGCGCGGGGACGGCCCAGGGCAACCCCGCGACGGTCCAAGATGGCTTCAAGATGGCCTGCGAGGCCCCCAGGACGGCCCAAGGGTGCTCCCAGAGGGCCGCCGCGAGGGCCCCAGGAGGCAAAAATCGCCCACTCCCCGCTGGAAAACGCACATGTTCGAGATATGCCCTTGTTTCGTATTGACAACATCCACTGCAGCCCATTAAGCCCCAAAGATCCTCCCAAGACGGCCCATGAGGCCCCAAGAGCGGCGCAAGACGGCCCAACAGAGCTCCAGGAGTGCCCAAGAAGGCCAAGATGGCCCCGGGGGCCCTTAAGACGGCCCAGGAGGACCCAAAGAAGGGCACAAGTTATTCTGCAAAGCAATCTCAGAGGTGTCTCAAGACGTGCGAAATACACATATATTGCAGCATGTCACATGCGTGCAAAACCTATACACTTGCCCTCATTCGTCCGAGCACTGCTCACGGCTCAAGGGTTTGTGGGGCCCTTCCTGCGGGCAGCGCGGCGGGCCTCTCTGTCCATGAGGTCCAGATGGGCCACTCTGCAGGGGGAGGGGAGGAGGGGTACGCTGCATCAGGACGTTTGTACATTCCTGGCGGCGGCTAGCAGACAAATGAGCAATGCAACGGAGCCGCTCACACACCGCTCATCTACATAGATCCTGGGGGGACACCTCAACCGATGTTTCATCCGATGATGCATCTTCAACGCTTTGGGGTAATCCGCCGACCCTTCGACGTGTGTGAGACGCTGTCGTCTTCGTCGTCGTCATCGTCGTCGTCGTCGCCAGTCCCAAAAAAATGAGGAAAGAACAAAGACAAGAAACGTCGTAGTTAAGTCGATTCCTTTCCCCTTTTCCCTTCCCTGACGGGGGTGCAAGGGGGGGAGGGGAAGAGGGGTGTGTATAGGGGGGAGTAGGAGGGGGCGTCCAGGATCAGATTACCGCCGCCCCTGGGGGTCCAGGCGGGCCCCCAGGGGCCTGTGGACAGGAGGGACATAAGAAGGGATTCCCACTTTGGGCGGGGGCTGGCCCTGGTCCCGGCTCTGGCCCCAGCCCCGGCCCCGGCCCTGGTCCCGGCCTGGCCCCGGTCCCGGCCCGGGCCCCGAGGTCTCGGGAGGGGACCCCGGGGTCCGGAGGGAAGTCCCGCCTTGAGGCTCGGCGGCACCGGCCGTACGGCCTTCACAATAAGAACTGACATCTCGCGTCTTTCCCGCTGTGATGGCCCCAATAGCCCCGAATGACCCCCGAGGCGCCCCCAAGAGGCCCTAAAAGGCTTCCAAGAGGCACCCAAGAGACACCCAACAGGCACCCAGAGGCCGCCAAAATCCAAGCAGATACCCCCAAGAGACCTCCAAGAGGCCCCTGAGAGCATTCCAGAAGACCCTCATCTGCATCCCCGAGGCTCCTGATACACAGACCAGACACGGTGGCACGATGCTTGACGAATTCACTGTTATAGGGGACGGCGGAATGGCGTACGCCTCTTGAATAAATCATCCTCAGAAACCTGCTGGGACCGACCAAAAACAACAGCAGCATCTGGGGACGAGAAACCGTGAAACTGGGCAACAGCCCAGTCGTCCAAAGCTGGCACCATCGTGCCGTACGAAACTTCACTGGCATGAGGAGGAAGAGGAGGAGGAGGAGGAGGAGGAGGAGGAGGAGGAGGAGGAGGACCATGATGAGGAGGAGCAAACGGGGGTGATCCCCTCCGCTTCATGATGTTGTCCACCAAGCCCTGCATGGGCTGCCGCCGCGCGGGCCCGAACTTCCGCGCGATCTGGTTCTCGCTCCAGCACTCGATCACGAGCGGCTCCTCTGGGCGGGGCGGCCACCGCGCGCCTCCCCGCCCCCACGGTGCAGGCGAGGCCTCGCCACGGGGCTAAGGCGGCCAGCCCTCCTCCCTCCTCCTCCTCCTCTCCTCCTCCGCCTCCTCCTCCTCCTCCTCCTCCTCCTCCTCCTCCTCCTCTTCCTCCTCCTCCCTCGCGGCGAAGATGCTCAACGCCTACAGCCTCCTCCCGCGTTCCTCCTCCGCGGCCGTCCTCTTCTCCCCCCCAGTCGCCGCTGCGTGCCCGCAGCCCCAGCGCGGGCGGCCCGCCGGCTAACTGCCCGAACGCGTTGTGCGCTCACCATCGCTGCTGACAACAAAGAAGATCGAAGTCAGAGGCTACCCTACACATGGCGGCTTTCGGAGACCCCGAACCCCAAACACGTCTTCATCTCTTGGGGCCGCATCTTCTACTTCCGCTGCCCTCCGCCGAGCTTCCGCAGGCTTCCGCTGGCGGACACGGCCTCGTTCACTTCCGCCGACCTTCCGCCGACCTTCCGCCGCCTTCCGCCACGGAAGATGGGAGAGTCCTTCTGCTCGCGGAGGCAAGGCCCTTTTCGGAACGCCCCACATACAACCACCTCCAAACTCGCATAAGATCGCGCAAGCCTGCTGCATGCCCCTCTTCCAGCGGGGGGCGCAGCGGAACCACCTCCGCCACCTCTGGCGGCGGCTCTGTACCGATGCGTGGTCTGGTTCCACCCAGTGTCGACCAGCTGTAGGAAGAAACATCTTTCTTTCTTTCTTTCTTTCTTTATTTCTTTCTTTCTTTCTTTCGCACTGCCGCTGGCCCTACCGGGCGCGTGAGAAGGTAGTCTGCAGTTCCTGCTATAATACCGCGTCGGCTCATAGCAACCCCGGGGGCCTTTGCCTGGATCGAGGGATGGGCTTGCGAGGAAGAAACGTCTGCATCAGCACAGAAACACTCGGAGGTCCGCGCGGCCCTCTCGGATCGGCGCTGGACGCCCCCTTGTGGCACCTCGGGCGCCGCCCCCGGCGCGCGGAGGAGCGCGCCGGGCCGGGTCCAGCGACAGTCTCAGACACCTGCGCGGCGCTTCGGCAGCTCGCACTTGTGGACGTGAGTATTCTCCGACCAGCCCACGACACAAGCTGTGCGAGATCCCGGCCCCAGGCGCGAGGCCACCACCACACCTGACCTTACCCCTCTGCGGGATCGTTCCAGCACGAACCCTCGGCAGCGAGCCTGCGAGGCGAAACGCGCAGCAGCAAGCCAACGATGCAAACCATGGCCACCAAGGATACCCGCCAGCGCCAGCATGCGTAATAGACGTCGCAACCCGTGGGCGCGACCTGTGCCAACCAATGAGTTCTGGGCTAGCATGCGCAACCATTGGCGGATACTCTGAGCGCAACCGATGGCCACCAAACATTCCAGACGGGCATATGCAACCTATTGCGGACACCATGGGCGCAGCCTGCGCATGGACACCAATGACTCCCAGGCCAGCTTGTGCTGTCCCTGGCCGACACTACGGTCACAACCCGTGGCCACGAATGACTTCAAGGCTAGCATACGCAACCCATGAGGCGCAGCCTAATCTAACTACGGCCACGAACAAACCTCGGGACATCACACCCCAGTCGTTACAAGAGAAGCGAGACCCCGTCAGCGCATGCACTGCTTGGGGAGCGAACGAACAACGGACAAAACGCGCACTCGGCGAGGGAGCCCGCCCGTGCCAACCAGGGTTACGTCGGGCCTGTCCCTCTTCAGGAGGAACATTCAAAAATAGTCAGAAAACAATCAGGGACGACTTTTTGAGTATGTTTGAGCATTTCTTTGTTTTTGTATGTTTTTATCTGTCGTCCAAAATCCCCCTGTAGGGGGACACGCCCGGCCTAAAACTAGGACACGGTGCGGATGCCGTAGCCTCAGCAGGACAGATCATGAACTCAAGCATGTGAAACGTATGCCGACTCCTGTGATGACCACCACTCAGTGCTCCCTCCCAGCAGCCGCAATCCATCGCAAGTGGTTTGTGCTGCTGCGCTCATTCTGTCACGGTTCGGTCGCTGCCCCGCTTCGCTGCTGCAGCCGTGCCCGTCATGGCCGTGTACGGCGGGTTCGCGTCGTGACGTCCCCGGCGGATCTTTCAACCTCGAACGACGAGCAGGCGAGGCCTCGCCACGGGGCTCTGGCGGCCAGCCCCCGCTGCCTCTGCGAGGGTCTCGCGGCGGACGTCAGGCCGACCGACCACACCTGCGCGCACGTGCTCCAAAGTGAGACGACGCACACCTTTGGATGCGGCAGACTCCAATACCTGCGGCCGCCTGCGCACTCCTCCTCCTCCTCCTCCTCCTCCTCCTCCTCCTCCTCCTCCTCCTCCTCCAGCCTGACCCAGGGAGAGGGGAGGCGATCAGGTCAGGAGGCAACTCCTGGGAGGCCTCTGGGGGAACGAGCAAGGCCAATTTAGCATGTGGATGCCATGACAATCGGCGGTGGACAAACCTCCCTTTGGTAAACCGCCCTGTAGTGAAGACGGCCCAGGACCGAAACCGACGGGCCTGGACCCGAAAAAAGGACGGCCGCGACGCCCTCTCGCGAAGCGAAAACGGCCAATTCGCTAACCGGCGCGTCAGGGCAGGAGGTCGATCAACCTCCGAGACAATGGACACTCTAACAATCCTATCACTGAATGAAAAATGTGTTTGAGGTGTTTGAACATGTTCCTAAAATGTGTTAAGACATTGCTTTACATGTGAAAGGCATGCTTAAAAAATGTCTCAGACATCTGGAAATTATTTGGAAACACGCTTCCTCTACGCTGATTGACTTCCACAAAATTAAGCCCGAGCAGAAGGCCGTGAAGCCAGATCAACCACGATTGGGCCAAAGATTCGAGCCGGATTGATCCAGCCAGCTCAGGCTGGCTTTCGGCCACCAGCATTGATGCTGAGTCAAACATACTAGGAGGAGGCCAACTATACACACGCACCGATCCTGGCCCATCACTCAGCGCACTGTTTGATTCGAGACCATTCGCTAATCGACGTGTCAGGGTAGGAGGTCTGTCAGCCTCCGCTCTTCTCCCGGGAGGCCCGTGGAGGCCTGCATACATGGCTCCGTGCGCGTCGCCGGCATCGACACGGGGGACGCGGGGCGCTCGCGCTCGGGCGCGGCACGAGGGCCGCCAGGCGAAGGGGGCTGGGGGGGGCAAGAGAGGGTACGGGGAGGGCGGGGAGAGGGGAGCAAGGGGTGGAGGGAGGGGAGGGCCAGAGTGAGGGGACGGTGGAGGGGGGGGGAGGGGCAAGGAGGAGGGGGAGGGGATCGGCAGCAGAAGGGCGGGGAGGTCTCTGCTGTCCAGCGCGGCGGGTGCAGCCAGGCGGCCATCCACCACTAGAAAACGGTGACCACGATACAAGAGCAGCACCAACTGAAATCACTTGGTCCACTGACTTGCTACCAATGCGACGAAGAAACGAAGGCAGTCAGCGATTCAGAAACGAACTGCACTATCGATTCGCCATCCAAGTACTATCAGCTGACAAGGCTTAACTTCAAGCCACTGGCACAAATCACATAACCACTTGAGACGCGACAACATCCGAACAAGGCTTGAGTAACATACACGTCTCCTTGTGTATTACGGTCCAATGCTTCTCCTGTAATCGGCCATCTGGACTGCTGGTCTCCGCATAGATGGATCCCGTTGCCTGTGAGGCGTGTTGCCATGGAACTTCACAGCATGGGGAAGCGAACGCGCATAGTACATAAAAAATGCGCAGAGTGTGCAGCGTTTCGGCGAGACTATTAG